GCTCAAATCTAGAAATCAAATGCCTAAATAAAGAATATATCTCTTTATTATGGCCTATTTGACCCACGCTCTATTTAAAAAATATAATCTTAAACAGTGATTTGATATGATTTTAATCACACATTTTTCAATAAAGTAATATTAAACATAAATTCAAAACCTTTTTATTATTTTTTAATTACACATTTCCTATCAATACACTATTTAAAAATGCATTCTTATGGAATAATGTGGCTCAAACAAGGGCTATATTTAATTGCTGAGAGAGAGGGCGTGCCTTCTGTAAAACCCAAAAAACATACAGAATATAAGCCTCAAAGAACATTTCAAAGGAACGTAAGAGATAGTGGGTACATTATCTGATTTCTATCAAAAATACTTTTAGCAGAAGAATTCGTGGCATCAGAACCCAGCTGCATCATTAAAAAGGTATATCTTCAACGAGTGTTGAAAATGGATAGACATTGTTGATTGAAAGAACCGATGACAAGAATAAAATAGTGAGACACCCTCAATGAACGAGACGAGAAACCACCCTTTTCCTCATAGAGGGCAGGAAGGTCGTAGAGGATCAAGGGCTAAGGGTAGAAGATCCGGTTCAATTTTTGGGTCGGACCAGTATGAATACTGTAGACAGCATGGAGTGAATGAGGACCAGTTCAATGCCGGAAAAAGATGGAGTAACCTTGTATGTGATTTCAGGAAGATAAAAATGTGGGAGTCTCAGAGTTAATGAATCCTTCTGGACGATAAGAAGCGGTTTGAGAAGGGATAGGAGACTTCCCGATTTCTTTGATCGAGAAGTCTATGATGTCTTGGACCTGAAAACATTCACAGGGGATGAATATCGACTAGCACTTGTTTAAGAAAGTCTAGATGAAAATAATGGTTATGGCATTTGGCCGAAGATGAGGAAATGAAGAGGCGGCAACAGTTGACAGAACAAAGCCAAATCCTTCACCAGTGCCAATATCAGGTTACCTAAATCATCTTTTTCAACTAGTGTTTATCTCCCCGAAATATATGACACAAAGGTTTTCTATCACTGGCAGAGAAGAAATATCAACCATACCATGAGGCATATTCAAATCAAGTTAAGCTCCATAAATCTGTATTTGGTGATCCATTATGCTCATTGATATGATACGTTTGCAATTATCAGGTGCAGAAATTGGGAAATGGCCTCAGCAAAATTTTGAGACAGGATCTACTATGTTTCGGGAGGGAATGAAGAGAAGAAGATTTTCAGCAAACGGATGTCAAAATATTGATGTAGCCGATCGCTGGATCAGAGTTCTCCAGAGTAATGCTAGTCTGCTGAATACCCAACTTGAATCTCAAAATATGAACTGTCAAGTCGACAGTGAGAAGTGAAATGACCAGCACAACGGTTTAGTCACTGCTCTTAACAAGATTATTGATGCCCTAGCAAAAATTGTGGATAAGTTGAAACTGCAAGCATCCATAAATATTAATTGCATGTTATGTACTTAGTATTGGATAGAACTCGAGATTAATGATTCCATTCTTCAATACAGTCCAGTGCTATCCAATCCATCCTGCCAAACATGTCACTATGATTCATGAAGTGCTCTTGTTCTGTACTTTAGAGGAAAGGATCAAAATTAGGGTGGTTTTCATTGAAGTTCTCAGATTTCTCCTAAATATTGAAAAATATTGTTCTTACCCAGTCTACTCATTTGATAATTTTGACTATTTTTTGGTGAATTGTTGTACCTATCATCCATTATGTTCAATAAGCATAATTGGAATGGAATAAATAGAATAACGTGTTCATTTCTTGACCTTGATCTTACTAACAGTTTGTTTGGGAGCGATTTTTTGTCTCAAAAAATTGATTTTTTGACCGTTATTTTATTATTTCAGTCGTCATATTTGACTTCTTCTCTCACAGGTGGACCCCTCCTAACGGTCAAAAAATCAATTCTCAAATTGACTTCCAAACAGGCTATAAGTCAGTAAGATAATTGATTTTTTTTTTTTT